GCCGCTGGCTTCTGCCCACCAGGCACGGATGAGGGAAACTGCAGGAGATGCTGGGGGAAGTGCACCCAGGTTGTTCCCACGCAGGACACTGGATGTACAAATGGGCACTTGTGGCAGGAGGCTGTCTGTCCAACTACGCCTTTTGGGAAAGGCCACCTGACTATCACAACCCCAGACCAATTGGAGGTCTGGGGTCTGGATAGTCTCCCCGTAAGGGGGAAGATATGTGACAAACTCCCCTCTCCAAGTGAGTTTGCCACAAGCTCCTGGAGGAGCCTGCTTGCCAGCCTGCTGCCCACAGACTTTGGGCCCTGCTAGGAAGCCTGTAAAAGACTACTAAACTTGACCGTTAGCACTGATTTCATGGAACTGTTTTGGGCATAGGACCATGTGCACGGTCGGTCAAAATTATAGCTTCCAGGAAATTCCTGAACCCCTGATTTTTGGATATGTTGGTCACCCAGATCAGGGCTATCAGGGGATGTAACATTTGTGGGGATATCATGTGTTTTGGGTTAGAAAGGTATATTTTTTTCTGTGCTTGGAGATAATTGGATTAGAATTAGTACAGTTACTGATCCAATTATCTCCCAAGCTGAGGGGAGGGATTGTGTGTCATGTGTGTGCCTTACATTGTAAATGTGGTATTATTGGCTTGTAAGTTTGTGTCCCAGTCCCCAACAAGGTCCATGTAGGTGTACCCCTTGCTTGGGGACTTGCATAAAAGGCCACGTGTGGCACCATTAAAATCTGTTCCTGCTTACACTCCAAAACTGTGTGTCGTCCTGTAATTGGAGGATAGAAGATTTACTCCTGTGTCTGCTGTTCCAGCTTGCAGGGATTCAACAGGGAAAGTCCTTTTAAGGACTAGAGCTAATTCCCCATTCGGCTCCAGGAAGGAGCAGTTTGAGGGCACCAGTCAAGCCATGGCGACTGTGGGCAGAAGTGCTGCAGTTTGTCCCCTGTTCCAGCTAGGAAGCGGTCCTTTGGCAGAGGTACCCAGCCAGGGTACAACTGTCTTTTCAGAGAAAATGCAGTGTTTACATTACAGCCTAGTGATAACTTCACTGGCCACTCCTCAGATGGCTACAAAAGCTGCTTCCATGGGCAGTCCTGCCTAGTGTGCAGCACTGCCATTCAGTGTCTCCACCCTCTGAATGTAGACACTGAATTTTCCTCATAGAGATGCATTGATTCAATTCATCTCTCTGAGGAGATGCTGATTGGCCAGGGCTGTGTTTGACTTGTGCTGGCTTTGCCACTGATCTCGCTCTTTTACAGTCTCAGCCAATCCTATGGGGGAAGCACTGTGATTGGTTTAGGTCACCACTTCTGATGATGTCAGGAGACAGGGGCAGTTCAGGGGCAGAGCCAGCAGCTTCAGACTTGAATACAAGTAAGATGTTACTATATTTATGGAGGCAAGCGGGGGCCAGATGGTGTTTTTAACACAAAAGGGTAAGAAATACATGTTTGTGTTCCTGACCCTATAGTGTTCCTTAAAATTCTGTTTGATACATTAAAGGTTTACTCAAAGCACTATGACCACTTCACTGATATAAAGTAGTCGTGGTTCCCGGAGACTGTATGTGCGTCGTTTTGCTATGAGCTCCACCTCCGGCAGCCTCATTGGGACAAGAGTTCCAGTCTGGTTAATGTAAATTTTACATGCAGAATGTCAGTCTTTGTCTGAGAGCGCCCAGTGGATGCTCTCAGCCAATAAACAGCCAGTGTGTTTGACACATCAGCGGCCATAGAGGACCCCTGGCGCCTGACTGTGATGCAGGTAAGAAAGTAAACTGTTGTAAACGAATTGCCCCATTACCAGTAAATGGGGCAGGTTACTCCTGACATCATAACCACAACAGAGGGTATAAGTAGTGTGACACATGGAGTATTCCTTTAAATTACTTTACCTTCTGGGAGAAAAAAAGTCAATTAAGTTTAAAAAAAAAAAAAAAAAAATACATTTTATTTATAAATAAAAAACAACGTATAGTAAAATGATACATACTAAGTTGTTAAATGAAGGTGCTACAAAGCCACCTCCCACAGGGAGCACCTTAATTTAGCGTTCCACCTTGTATCACCAACATTTTAAATTATTTACCCTTTCCCCGTTTGGTTTGAATTGAATGATGCAATGTTATATTTTGTTATTATTTCTAAACCGCACTGTGTGGGTTGCTTTAATACATAGCTAATCCAAAACCTGTTTCTATAGAAAAGATCTTCATTAGACAAATGGGCCTTTCAATGAACTGAATTTATTTTTTAGTGTGCAGTCAGATAACGATTTCATTAGCAGATTTTAGCAGATTTATATAAGCGTAAAGCATTGTGTCAAAATTGCTAAATCAATTATTCAACACAGACAGCACTATTTAATGAAAATCGACATGAATTTTAAAGTGAAATGTGTGCAATGCTCTTGAAAGACATTTGCCAAGCCAGTAGGGGGTTGATAATTCCCTTTAAACAAAATGACGTTGTAGCTGTCTACATCTTGGCAGGATCATGGATCAGAACAGACTACGCTAAGGTCATTGCTAAGTCTTTAGAGAGCTATAGAATTCAGCTATTTCCAGTAGGTTCTAAGTAGATATTGAATCTGGAACCATGAATTTCTCATACATCGAATTGGAGACATGGAGCGAGGACTGTGTGTATGTATGTATGTATATATATGTATATATATATATAAGAAAATTAGAAAAACGGGATGCACTCACAGGTCTTCATATAAGTGAAAAAATGGTGCTTTATTAATCCATTAGGTGTATACAAAAATCGACCGACGTTTCGAGATCCTGGCAGGGTCGAAACGTCGGTCGATTTTTGTATACACCTAATGGATTAATAAAGCACCATTTTTTCACTTATATGAAGACCTGTGAGTGCATCTCGTTTTTCTAATTTTCTTATATATTTGACACTGAGGATACAGCACCCAGGCAAGATACTTTCATTTCTATTGTAAGGAGAGTGCCAAGCCTTCACTTTTTCATTGTGTGTATATATATAAATCTATCTATATATATATATATATATATACACTGACCAAAATTATAAAAGCAACACTTTTGTTTTTGCCCCCATTTTTCATGAGCTGAACTCAAAGATCTAAGACTTTTTCTATATACACAAAAGGTCTATTTCTCTCAAATATTGTTCACAAATCTGTCTAAATCTGTGTTAGTGAGCACTTCTCCTTTGCCGAGATAATCCATCCACCTCACAGGTGTGGCATATTAAGATGCTGATTAGACAGCATGATTATTGCACAGGTGTGCCTTAGGCTGGCCACAATAAAAGGCCACTCTAAAATGTGCAGCTTTACTGTATTTGGTGGGCCGAAAACCAGTCAGTATCTGGGGTTTTCATGAGCTGTAAGCCATAATCATTGCACTTATGACAAATCACAGCTTGAACTATCTTGCTTTGCATGTAATGGGTTTATCTCATATATTAGTTTCCCCTTTTACGTTGCATTACTGAAATAAATGAACTTTTGCACGATATTCAAATTTTTTCAGTATCACCTGTATATATCAAAATGTTATTCTTCAATTCATACATTTGCATTTGCTGACCCAGAATCCCTTGCAGTAGTAACATCACAGCCAATTTGATATAGCTGTGGGAAAAGCAAGTCTTATGGCTTTACCGGTGTATGCAGATTGGTGATTAACAATGTATTGACTATCCACTGACTTCTGGTGGAAGGAGTTTTCAATCATTTTTTTCCCCCACCATAACTTTGTTGGTTGGTATTCCACAAGTTACGCTAAGCCTCGATAGCAAGCCATTAACTAACCTCATGCCGATGAGTAGCATTAACAATGAAACAAGTGGCCATCAGTGGTTCACTGGCTTTGCATTTCTTTCGGAGTTGTGTTTCAAAGCTGTTTTATACAGCACACAAACTTCAAGGAAATCCATATATTTAAAATGGAATAATAAGGCAAAAATATGATACATTGTTGAACTAATTTTCTTATGTCCACCCAGAATCCCTTGCAGTAGTAATATCACTGCAAATTTGAGATTTCTGTGGGAAAAGCAAGTCTTATGGCTTGACTGGTGTGTGCAGATCTCTGTTAATCAATGTATTGACTATCCACTGACTTCAGGTAGAAGGGGTTTTCAATCACGTTTTCCCCACCATAACTTTTATGGTGTGTGTGTGTGTGTGTGTGTGTATGTGTATATATATATATATATATATATATATATATATATATATATATATATATACACTGCTCAAAAAAATAAAGCGAACACTTAAACATCACAATGTAACTCCAAGTCAATCACACTTCTGTGAAATCAAACTGTCCACTTAGGAAGCAACACTGAGCGACAATCAATTTCACATGCTGTTGTGCAAATGGGATAGACAACAGGTGGAAATTATAGGCAATTAGCAAGACACCCCCAATAAAGGAGTGGTTCTGCAGGTGGTGACCACAGACCACTTCTCAGTTCCTATGTTTCCTGGCTTATGTTTTGGTCACTTTTGAATGCTGGCGGTGCTTTCACTCTAGTGGTAGCATGAGTCTACAACCCACACAAGTGGCTCAGGTAGTGCAGCTTATCCAGGATGGCACATCAATGCGAGCTGTGGCAAGAAGGTTTGCTGTGTCTGTCAGTGTAGTGTCCAGAACATGGAGGTGCTACCAGGAGACAGGCCAGTACCTTAGGAGACGTGGAGGAGGCCGTAGGAGGGCAACAACCCAGCAGCAGGACTGCTACTTCCGCCTTTATGCAAGGAGAAACAGGAGGAGCACTGCCAGAGCCCTGCAAAATGACCTCCAGCAGGCCACAAATGTTCATGTGTCTGCTCAAACGGTCAGAAACAGACTCCATGAGGGTGGTATGAGTGCCCGACGTCCACAGGTGGGGGTTGTGCTTACAGCCCAACACCATGCAGGACATTTGGCATTTGCCAGAGAACACCAAGAAAGCAGGTTCACACTGAGCACATGTGACAGACGTGACAGAGTCTGGAGACGCCATGGAGAACGTTCTGCTGCCTGCAACATCCTCCAGCATGACCGGTTTGGCAGTGGGTCAGTAATAGTGTGGGGTGGCATTTCTTTGGGGGGCCGCACAGCCCTCCATGTGCTTGCCAGAGGTAGCCTGACTGCCATTAGGTACCGAGATGAGATCCTCAGACCCCTTGTGAGACCATATGTGGTGCGGTTGGCCCTGGGTTCCTCCTAATGCAAGACAATGCTAGACCTCATGTGGCTGGAGTGTGTCAGCAGTTCCTGCAAGACGAAGGCATTGATGCTATGGACTGGCCCGCCCGTTCCCAAGACCTGAATCCAATTGAGCACATCTGGGACATCATGTCTCGCTCCATCCACCAATGTCACGTTGCACCACAAACTGTCCAGGAGTTGGCAGATGCTTTAGTCCAGGTCTGGGAGGAGATCTCTCAGGAGACCATCCGCCACCTGATCAGGAGCATGCATAGGCGTTGTAGGGAGGTCATACAGGCACGTGGAGGCCACACACACTACTGAGCCTCATTTTGACTTGTTTTAAGGACATTACATCAAAGTTGGATCCGCCTGTAGTGCGTTTTTTTTTCACTTTAATTTTGAGTGTGACTCCAAATCCAGACCTGCATGGGTTGAAAAATTTGATTTCCATTTTTTAATTTTTGTGTGATTTTGTTGTCAGCACATTCAACTATGTAAAGAACAAAGTATTTCAGAAGAATATTTAATTCATTCAGATCTAGGATGTGTTATTTTTGTGTTCCCTTTATTTTTTTGAGCAGTATATATATACACACACACTCAGCTCACTCATTAAACACCAACCTCAAAGCTCACAAAATGTAATAGGTTTAATAAAAAAATAAATAAATGGGGGTTTAGTTACCCTATATAATGATACATTGCATAAGCCACAACATCAATGTACCCCATTCCTGGCAGGTCCTAGGCTAGCAACCAATTCCTGCTTTTATGAGATTAGCCCACTTACTTGTAAAATCGTTCGTCCTGGGACTCTCAGTAATACAAGATTAAATAGGGTTTTGGAATGAGGCACCTGTGACAGGGAGGGGTTCAAAACCAAGAGAGTTGGCTCCCAAATATATTTACATATAAAACCAAACCGGCTGCACTCACCTGGACCTGGATACATTATAAGGTGCTGCTGGGGCCAATTTATACAACCTCTAAGATACAGATAACTTGCTCACTAAACACCAACTTCAGCACTCTCACAACCTATGTAAAGTATGTGTATGGCTTCACTGATATATATAAAAAAAATGTCCCCAGTTAATTATGGTCCTGATTTAACATGCTCTGCTGTTTTCAAGCTAGATAGTAATACATTTAAAAAATAAATCTCATCCTGAACTTGCCTGCGTCATCATTATCATTGGCAATGCCTGCATCCCCGTCTCGGTTCCACTTCAGCTGTCACAAATGAAGCCTTGCACATGCAAATGTCATTTTTCAATACAAGTGGTTTGAGCGTACACATAAATTCAAATCACACGAGCTAATGGCAGCAGATGTGGCCAGTGTTGGCAATAACGTTAATTATGAATAATATAAATGTGTAGCCTGGGAAGCATTTCCTCCTAGGTCTAGGTCTTCAAATATATCATACTTAACCCCTTAATGACCCATGACAAAGTTACTCCATCATTGTTATCTTCCCCTAAAGGACCCATAATGGAATAATTCTGTCATGCGATATTTTACCAGCAGCAACAATTTTCCTGCTGATAACAGGGTACCCCTGGTATCATTTGATTTCTGGGGCTCCCCCTCTGTCAGCTGAGGCAAACCGCTTATAAATCCACATTGCTACAATGTGGTGTGAGCAGGGTTAAATCCCTGCCCATACCAGGAATTCCCAGTTACCAATCGATACCTGGAATTCCTCCCTCTGTCAGCTGGGGATATTTTAGTAGCCTCAGACTGAAAGGGACACTGGCACTTTAACAACTTGATCTTATTAAAGTTATTGTGCCTGAAGTCCTGCCCCCTCCCTCCTCTCATAACACCCAAAAACTATTTATTTCACTAATTAGAAGGCCTGGAAGTAGTATTCCTAAAGCTACATTGCTGTTTAAACTCCCTGGGATTGCTTTGTAGTTCAGACCACTCAGTACTGTCGGTGGTTAAGCTGTGTACATATGCATTAGTTATATGGGTGTCCCTTTAACTTTTTATTGAGATCCAACTTAAAATTCACATCACAGGAATACACATAAAAGTACCGATGTACAGCATTTCGTGCCTGAGATAGCGTCTATGCAGATTCTGTAATTTTTGAGACATTATCATGTCTCGTGCCAAGATGGGTCATTGGAGTATAGATGTAGGCAGGATCATAAAGAAACACTCCAAGCACATTAACCACTACAGCACGTTGTTATGGTTTTTATCCTTCCAAGAGTGCCCTGGAATGCCCAACATCGTAAATAGTCAATCTGTTTTAGAATGGTTTGACTTCTAGCTTGGGGTCCATTCCCTCACCTCCAATATCTCACCTCCAATATCTCACCTCCAAGACAATATGCCAGAATGATTATTCATAGAGATACAATGATCTGTGTTTTTTTAAAGGACCACTCGACATTATGAAGTCCTTTATGTTTGAGGAGTATCCCATTAAAAATACAGTTTATAAAAGTGCCGATTTCTACAAGAAATGTGATTATTCAATTACGATTCATTAATGAAACACTCTCCTGGATATCAGTAAAACAGCCTGGAAAGTTTCTTACTCTTTAGATGATCTAACGCAGGGGTTCTCAACCCAGTCCTCAAGGACCCCCTACCAGTCCAGGATTTAGGGATTACCCTGCTGTGTCTAGTGTTTGTTTCCCCCTCCCCCAAACTGCCCTCCCCCCTAAAAATACATTAGACACAGCAGGGTAATCCCTAAATCCTGGACTGGTAGGGGTCCTTGAGGACTGGATTGAGAACCCCTGATCTAACGGAAGTGTCAGGCGCCCTCTACTTGAGCATGCCTGCCTCCCCCCACATACTACCTTCTCAGACCTCAGATCAGACCAGTGTTCTTTTTGAACGCTTTGTATTGTGTGCATGTTCATGCTCGAGACATAGCTTCAGAGGCTTCTCATTGAGAAGCCTCCAGTATGCAACTAACCCATAAAGAGATTGAAAGTCTCTTCTGGGGAAAAAGAGGAGCGCTTGCAAAGGTTACAGTTCATAAGAAATTGGGCCTTTGCAAGTTCTTTCAATACATACGACCAAAGAATACATGTATGAAAAATGCATGTATATATTCAATATGTGTGTATATCTACTAAACAACAATTTATTTTTTAAGAGTTTACGTGTTGAGTGGTCCTTTAAGGATTAGGGTTTTGCTGTGACTCTTTCTATAGCTTCAATTTGTAGGTAATATTTCTGTATTATAATATGTGCATGCAAAACGAAAATATATATCACAATAAAACATGTTTGAGGGTAGGAGTAAGGCCCACCAGGAGAATCCTGGGCCGGTCAGTACAACCTAACCTCTATAATAAATTGTCTGCAAGTAACTGCAATTTCCTGAAGGCAGGGACATTATTTATTAGAAAATATTAGATTATACTTGGAAACAAAGATGTATCGTGTATCATGTAGACAGATGGTCTGTGTGTTATTGTAAGTATACTGTAATGTGATTTCTCCCCAGGGTCCTCGGAGCACTTTGGTGGCTTCTATTGAAATTCATTATTGATGCTGTGGATTCCAACCGAGGTGTGTCTGTAGAATTCTACGGAAGGTTTTATTATACACTTGAGGTAAAGGATTATTTGTCAAAGTGCTCCATTTAATCCACTTTGCAAAACCATGAAGTCATGAAACCATAATTGATTACATTTGTTGAAATGCATGTAATACTTTTGATTGTTTTGAAACAGATACACACCACTCTCTAAAATGATTAAATAATAAGAAAGTGAGATTCAGCTTTGTGATAGTGAATCATCCAGCTGTTCTTTTTGTTCTCAAATTTTCGCGATTCTAATGGGTCACAAACATTCCGTTCACCATTTTAAATGTGAGGTATTTTATTGTATTTTAAAGACACATTACAGCAAATATTATTGCTGTGGAGCTTTGTTATACACTCAGACACACCAAGAATATGGAGCTCCTAGAAAATAGGGACAGAGGGATTAGGGTCCAAAATAGGAACTGTCCCTCCTAAATAGGGACACTTGAACGGTGTGCACTAGGGACCCATGGGTGGTGTTTTTTATATATCATAATGTCACAGAAAATAAAATATTTAGTGCAACACAAACCAGATATATCAAAATGAATTCACCATATCATCAAAGTTGAACTTGACCAATCTTGCCCATAATTTCATGGTGCAGGAATCTATGGGCTCAGATTATTGTTAGCTCATATTTAGAATATTTGTATTGATTGTTTAAATACATACATCTACAGCTTCTGCCATGCTGTTTCTTTAAAGTAGTCCATAAGTTTGGACTAATGGTGGCCTATGGGACATCACTGTCTTCTAGCAAGTAAGCTGTGATAAGACTAGATACAGAACACCACGGGATCAAGAATAGTGACATGGCCTGTAATGTGTTAGAAACAGGACTTGTCACTTGGGTATAGATTGTGAATTTGTTGGTAGATCGCTATGACTCAGACATGACCTTGACAGAAGCCTCTGACAGGTCCGACTTTCAACCAGAAAGAAAGGAGTACAAGGATTGGGTCCCTGTGTAGGCAGTAGAAACAGGCAAGTATCGACTGGTCAGTAAACATTAGTGACAATGTTAAAAGAGGACTTTTTGATTCAATAGTATGTATAGGAATTTAGCTGTTGTTTAAGAACAGCTCCAGGCACCATAACCACTACAGCTCACTACTTGTGAAATGTTGCATTCAGAAAACAGCCACTATTCGCTTACAGTAGCAGTAGGCACAGTCATGAGTAGATGGCGATCGCTAAAAATGATAAACAAGGTAGAAACAACCGTTTGTGTCTATGTTTAGTATTTGCTATAATATCTTGTCATTACATTTTTCCAAAATACCCATGTGCGCATATTTATTTGCAACACATTATAAATAAATATTTAATGGATTTATTTCATAATCTCACAATGCTCCCGTCTACCAGGGAGAGGTTAAACAAACCTTACTCTGATAATTCCATTCTATTTCCGGGGCTGCATATTTTTTTTCCATCTGTTTATAGAGCTTGTCGAGCCTTCGTAAGCAATAAAAAAAC